AGGTCAAGCGAGGCACCTCCCCTAGTAGGTGACAAAACTGTTGGACAGAAGCAGCGAGAGAAGAGCTTTTCTTTTGGTATTTTAGTGCCCAAAAATAGACGTTCAAAAGTGCAGCAAAAGTAAAAACTTACAAGGCTCTGGAAAAAAAAATTACTTTTTGGAACCCCACAAAAATACCTCCTTTAGTCTGAATCATCACTAACTCACTTTGCTGTCTGCTTCTCTCTTTTTGTTTAACTCAGATTTACCTCTTGTTATTTTTGTTTGATATAACCATGTTGCATTCAAGTGCATACTGGAGATGTTCATTTATGCATCCAGCAAGCAAAACCCATTATGCTGAATTTTTCAGCAGTTCAGTAGTTGTCAGGATTATGTGTGCCCCCTTATTCAGAAACTGATGCTGCAGGAAAATGTAGCCTTGGCTGTTAACGGGGTGGGAACATCCTGCTCTCTGCACACCCACAGCATATGATCCTTCTGTCTTTCCTGAGCTGGATCAAGTCTCACAGGGAGGTTGTCCCCCCCGCTACACTTGGAATCCATCAGTGGGTCATTACCTCTTAGGCTGCACCGCATGTGTATTTGGGTGAAAGGTTTGTTATTAGAGCTAGCTAACTCATTCTGATCAGCACTCTCTAAAACTTGAAAGGCTAAGAGGCGCTCTGCCTTTTAAAGTGTGCTAAACTGGTCAAGTGAGAGTCTGAGGTGAGGTTAGGTTTTAATTTGCTTGTTTAGCACCTATTAAAACACACCCTGCTTTATTTACACTTGAGTTTTTGAATGTGTTAGCCGGAATGCATTGGCAAATATGCTTAACTTTACACCTTTCGGTCTAGAACAAGACCTTATTTTGCAGCATACAGGACAAATAGGATGGCAGTTAGTTACCTACATGTATATTGTGAGGAAGAAAGTACTTTATTTCTATGAGTTGGGTTTGCCTTTGCACGTAGACACACACACTTCCCTGCTTACAGACATACAGATGCACAAACACCAAACAGTGTGAGGATTTTGGCTCTCAGCCTGTCAGCTAAGCTCCCACTTCTTTTTCTCTCCTGTACAGACATTTACATACATACCTTCGCACATATGTGCTCACACTGAGCAAATTCTCATACTGAGAGTGTCTGTTGGCTCAGAAATGGCTATCGCCATTTCTTTATCTTCCTCTTGCATGATTTCTGGCTTTTCCGGAGAATAGTGAACTAAGTGTTTTGGAAAAGGAAGGCGAAAATCATTTGATTCCTGCTTCTGATGTCAGCTGAAATGGGAAGGTACTCGGTTTTGCTTCCTATTGAGTACTGCAGCCTACTGTTTGCTGTCTGGACTAGGAAGAGTACAGGAAACTCCCGACATTGTTTTAAATTATGTCATTAATCAAGGTCCGTGACACGCACCACTTTCCTGCGCATGCCTCCTTTTTGGAATGACCTCATCCAAATAGCCTGAGAAAAATTGCTCTGCCAGTGAATTTAGTAAGGGATTGTACTTAATTGGGACAATGTGACTTCTGTGCATTTACCGTTTTTTTCACATAGTTATCAGAGCAGGCTAAAATACATGAAGACTGTATTGCCTTGTATGTCTTGTCATAAGACCAGGTGTTCCATCTGAAAGTATGTTTAAGGGACCTTTTGTTCAGCTGCTTCTTCAGGATGTTTTCTTTTGTCAGTAGAGTTCTGTATCTTCAGAAAAGTATCCATCTTAAGTCTTCCCTCAGCCCTGGAACTGAAAAGAACAGCAAAACATCAGCTTTTTTTTGCCTTTTTTTTTTTCCTCCCCTAAAAGATGGAGGGAATAGCTAAGGTATAGGATGGATTCATAGAATTGAACTTTGGAGGTGAGGAGGAGAAGGAGAATTTAAACTAGTCCCTCCATAGTAGAGGCAAAGAGCAACTCTGCTCTTTAGGCCTAGGGTTAGAGGAATGCTCAGAAGTCATTGGCATCACATTGTTTGGTAACAAGTTGAGTTTGTGCTTATTTTGTTTCCAAATACATTGCTAGCAGCAATTCTTTTAGCCATGAATGGACTTATTTCAGTCGTCTTTGGCATGCTAGCAGCTAAATGCATTACAAAAACTAAAGTAAGTTTTAATCTTTCTATAATCAGTTTAAATAACAAACTGCTTTGAGTGACTTACCAAATTCCTGGTGCACAATGTTGATCCCACTCTCTGGCTTGGAGGCAGAGGGGCTTTTGCTCCTATGATTTGTTAGGGTAGACAAGATGATGCATCCAAAGAATGTGCAATCAGACCTGTGTGAAACTTGGCAGATTGTCTTAGCAGGGTTCAACTAAACCTTGTTTTCATTTTTGGTGCACACGTGTTCCTGTGTGTGCTTGTCCTTACTCTGATATTCACTTTGAAATTCAATTTTGAACAAAACCCAAACCTCAGACTGAAACTTTGTTGAAAGCACCAGGCTTTGCCATGTTTCTGGTCAAACTGCTGGCCCAAATAAGCTGAAAGTTGGCAAATCTATCAGCATAGTGAGCATAACTTTCAGGTGGGCCCTGAAAATTCCTGTGTGGTGTGGGGTGTAATCACCAGAAGGCCATACATACGTCAAGTCCACATTATTCAGGTGGTATATAAGTATGGCTCAGGTTTGTCTTGCTGGTGCAGAGACATGAACAGAGACCAGCGAAATTCAGTCTTTCAGTATGGTGCTTCCATTACTGATGCATATTAGGAACAGCATCTCACTTAAGGACAGAAAAGAGAAAGACAGCACATTAGGAAGCATCCAACAGGGAGGAAAAGGGGCTGGGTAAAAGCAAAATTATACAGACTTTTGGTATTCTTAATTTGTTACACAGGTGGCAATTGTTAACAACCTTTTCATTTGTTTGAGGTGTCTTTCTACATTATGCTGTTTAGAGTGTGGTCATGGACATATTATTGTTGGTGTACATTTTGGTAGACTGAAAATTCAAATGTAATTCACATGGTTTTGCATTCAGACATTCTAAAAAAGTGCACTTGCCTGAACAACCTGTTAGAGGAGGCAGGAGGTAAACAAAGTGATCTAAAGAAATTATTTGTAGCCCTTTTCATATCTTTGAATCCCCATTTTTAAGCCTGGGAACTCTAAATGAAGTATTGCTAGAAGGATTGGTTTGAACTGACTTACATAATTCCATTCATTTCTATTGACTTGTCTAGGAGGCTGTCTGCATGGTCTAATTTGACCTGTCTGGACTTTTTAAGCCTGGTTTTCAACAAAACCTTAAACTTTTCCAAGGACTTTCTCCTATATTGTTTTTATCCTCAGTTAACATAATCTTAACCTGAAGAAAGGCAAATTTCATGGTAGAATACAGTAGAAACAGAACTCTAGTGATGTCAATAGTCAAAATAAACCTGTCCTACTATAGGTTCAGTCTTCAGTGTGTCATTTGTAACTGATTAATTCTGTATTTCCTCTGTTTATAATGTTTTTACTGTACATTTTGTTACTGCAGGTTGACAGTGGACCTGTTCCATCCTTAATATACCTACTCAAACTAAAAACAAACAATCAAACAAAAAAAAATGCAGCCAAGGCTATTATAGGAGCTTTGCCTTTTACTGAAGAACATGTACCTTTTAAACTTTGACTTTATATGTTCCTATACATATATCACAGGATCAGAGTGTCAAGTCAGTACAGCTGACAGACACAGTGGTAATGAGTTTACCTCTGTCAGTGTACCCACTCCTGGAGGTGGAAGCCTATAAATGGTATTGGCTAAAAGTTTGACCTAAGTCTAAAAATTGTTTTCAAGATAATCTGAACTCATAGTTAAAAGTGTTGTGATGAGTCTGTGTGAAAATGTATCTTATGTGTATTAGCATGTATGTAAGATGCAGCAATTTGAAAGAATCCATTCAGCCTTGAAAATGCAGCAACTATTGGGGTGGACCACAGCAGGTGTTTGGTGGTAACTGCAACAAAGAACACAGTGACCGAATAGCAGGGTCTTAAGGTCATAGAATATAATTACCCTGAAACTATGTGGGACACCATTATTAGCTAGTCTGTTTTCTCTCTTTTTTGTTTGTTTTGTTTTGATTTGGTTTGTTTTTCTTAAATACCTGGGAATTATTCTGTGAACTTTAGGCTAAAAACTAGCCAGCTTTTACAGATGCAGGGTTGAATAATATGGTACCTTTTGAATAAATTGCCTTTGGTCTGCTTTCCTTATTTTTCCTGCCTGTTTTTCTTTCAGGTTTGTGACCAGGTTTATTGAGCTGGATGGCCTGAGCTGTTTGCTGAACTTCCTGAAGAGCATGGACTATGAGACCTCGGAGAGCCGTATACACACATCCGTTATAGGGTGTATCAAGGCACTAATGAACAACTCCCAAGGACGGGCTCATGTCCTGGCTCATCCAGAGAGTATCAACATCATCTCCCAGAGCTTACGGACTGAGAACATTAAGACCAAAATTGCTGTGCTGGAGATTCTAGGGGCTGTCTGCTTGGTACCAGATGGTCACAAGAAAGTCTTGCAAGCCATGCTTCACTATCAAGTCTATGCTGCAGAAAGAACAAGATTCCAGGTACAAGGAGGATACTTTGCCAGAAATACCCAGTATGATGCATCTCTGCAGGGAGTGATTTTTACAGTGCATGTATTGCAAACTTGCTAGGTAGTAAAAAGGCAATATTTCTCGTTTTGTTTTAGGAAGAGCACTTCCTCAAATAGGTTATCAGCCTATATTTTTTTTTTTTCAAGACCTGATTGCTTGTCATTAATGCTAACTTAAAATCTCCTATATTTTACCTTAAAATGAGGGTTTGCTATGTTAAATGAAAGCTGTTAATCTGTTCATACTCTAACCTGATGGCATTTCTGGGGTGGTAATCATTTGTTCTGCCCTAGAAGCCGAAGCCACAGAATTCCAGGAGCCTCTGTCCTGATTTTAAAGCCCTTAATTTAGTAATAAAAGAGTTGTGGATTAAATAGTGGACAGTGGAGGCACTTCAATTGCCACTTAGCAATCAGCTTGTGAATTGTCACCACTTAGCAGTTGTTGGCTCAGATATCTCCCATTCAGAACACAGAAGGAAAACTCAATCTCAGAGAGGTCAGTAGATCATTGACAGGCTTTTATTGTGGATACTGCTGGCTGCTATCATATTGTTCCTCTTCCTAGTGAACTGAGCACCTTTACCAAAAGATACAACAGAATCTGTTGCTGTGTATGAAGCTATAGCTCCTAAACTTTGGTGTAACCTCACCCATTTACTATTCATTCTTAGGTGAAATGATAAGGGTGGTGTTGGGCCAACAGGCCCTGGATCCTGGTTTCTGTCAACCATTACCTCCTGCCTCCTCCTCAGCTAATGCATCAGTGGATTTTGGGCTACAGTGAGCTATGACTGTAAAAGTCATAGAATGGGAAACAGTCTGTGCTCGTGAACAGTAGCTGCCAATGTTTGTTGTTAGGACTGAATGCACTATGGGATTCACTGACTGTGACGCAGACCTGAGACTGGGATGCAGGAGATCTTGGCTTAGTCCTGGCAGCCAAGATCCTGGCAGCCAAAAGGGCAAACCGCATTCTGGGGTGCATCAAACGCAGTATAACCGGCTGGTCAAAAGAGGTGATTACCCCACTGTATTCAGCATTGGTGTGGCCTCATCTTGAATACTGTGTGCAGTTCTGGGCCCCATAATTTAAGAAGGATATTAAGGTCCTTGAATGCGTTCAGAGGAGGGCAACAAAGCTGGTGAAAGGGCTGGAAGGAATGTCCTATGGGGAGCGGCTATGGACTTTGGGCTTGTCTAGTTTGGAGAAAAGGAGGCTGAGGGTTTACCTCATTGCTTTGTACAACTTCCTGAGGAGCGGAAGTGGAGAGGGAGGTGTTGATCTCTTCTCCCTGGTATCCAGTGATAGGACATATGGGAATGGTTCAAAGCTGTGCCAGGGGAGGTTTAAACTGGACATTAGGAAGTGTTTCTTTACCTAGAGGGTGGTCGGACACTGGAACAGGCTTTGTAGAGAGGTGGTCGATGCCCCAAGCCTGTCAGTGTTTAAGAGGCATTTGGACAATGCCCTTAATAATGTGCTTTAAGTTTTGGTCAGCCCTGAAGTGGTCAGACAGTGGGACTAGATGATCATTGTAGGTCCATTCCAACTGAAAGAGTCTATGCTGTTCTATTCTGTTCTATGCTATGCTATTCACCTATATGTGGCATTGGCAGGTCTACCCCTCTATGTGCACTGCCCCATCCAGCTTGCTCTCTAGTAGTTAGCTGAAATGGGGAATCCTTCCTGAATTAATTTGACATTCTTGTATACCTTGGAGACAGGTGAGGGTAACCTTAGATGCTCGTCAAAAAGCAGTGGTAACTCACAGCCCTGACAACATTTATGGTCCTGTGTTAACTTATCCTTACTTGACCAAGTGGCTCTGCTTAATAAGCCCATATGGGAGACAGATGCTGAGTTTACTCAATGTCTCCTCTTTGGGTCCTTGCTCTCTCTTTTTTTTCTTTTTTTTTTTTTTAATTGGTTTAAAAATTACAGAATAACTGAGATAAGTCATTGCTGGGCAAAGTGTGGTAGTACAGGTCTTGTGAGCTTTTGGGGAATCTAATGTAATGATTTGCAGATGCTTACCAACTCTCACATTCATGAAAGAGTACTTTGCATAAATGCTTGCTTTTGTCAAAATGCTTTTTGATTGGAGAAAAAATGAAAGATAAATGGATTCTCTCTCTTTTTTCTCTGTTAAACAAACAAAAAAAAAAACCCACCCAAACCCAAAAATGATTTAGCAGAAGGATGTGTTCTTGTTTGCAATTTCTAACGCTTGTGTCTAGATGCTGGAATGGCGTTTTCCACTACACACAGCAATAGCTTAAGTTTCATTTTGAGGAAGTAAGGGTTCATCCAAAGACATTCCTCATCCATCTTCAGTCATTGTCTTCTAACAGAGAGACTGGGGATTTTTTAAATGCTGATGAAACAAATGTGGTCATGGTCTTCCTTACGTTTTAGTGGCAAGTTCTCTGATACTCTAGGACTTGTCAGTTAAGAGAGTGTTATATCTCTTTGCCTCCTGTCCTCCCACACCTGTGTCTCAGAATGGTCTTGCAGCTCATTATCAAGAGAAGCATCCACTGTAACTTGACTATGGAAAGCCATTTTAAGAAAAGGATGAGCTGACAACGCTTTTCCTATACCTTTACTGTAAACTTCAAAGATGTGGTGTACAATGAAAGCCAGTGAAAACCTTTTTTTCTTTATCGTGGTCCTGAGTCTTTGTAACCCAGACTTTGCAAATATCTGAAGAGATCCTTCGGGTTTCAAACTGCAGTCTTTTGGGGATGTGTTTCCTGTAGCTTGAGTAACTAGCAGCATCACTCAGTGTATTGAAGTGTCTGAACAGTTTAGAGCTTGCAGCTTTAGGTTGACTTTGACTGGCCACACCTAATCACTGTTATGTTGAAAATGATACCCCACAACTGGGGATCTGGCAGAACCAAGAAATGAGAATTCTTTCTGTGTAAAGTAAAAAAAGGTGAACTAAACTGTAGGAACAGGGGAAACATACTTTGAACGTGCAGAGTAGGAATTTATTCCTTTGGCTCTATGGTTCATTATTGCAGACTGATTCTAATGGCGGGGGAAAAAGGAAAACTGGGAACTGAAAAGGCACTGCTCAGTCTTTCTCTAGATCGAACTCCATAAGACAATGGCCAAATTAGAGACACAATACCTAAGAGGAGAATAATTTCAGATTCTCAGTTTTGGAAATCAAACTCGGTTCTTGTGAAGTAAAAAGTGTAGGGCTTTCTGGAAACTGTACTGAGCTCACTTTTATTGGAATGTCCAACAAATAATTTGCAGGTAACGCTGACCTCTGACAACATCAGTGCAATTGTTGCTCTTCCTTAAGTTGCTTTCCTGACAACAGTGGTGGATAATATTCTTCACCCCTTTCAGCCACCTTGCTGTCAATTATCATCTATGAAAGCTGGCATTTTGCGTGTATACCATGTGTTTGGATTTCTTTTACCCTCTTGCAGATTGCAGTAAATCTAAGCGTCCCACTCTCCCCATATCATCTGTGGTGACCACCTTATGTACTTTGAGGAATCAGGAGGTAAACGTAAGAAACACTGTTCCAGGTCTATTTTTCCCCAACACAAATTGTTTTCTTTTTTTTGCCTTCTTGCAGAAGAATATCATGGTAATGAATAAAAATTTGGGATGCATGGTTCTGCTTCCACTCCTCTTTGTAAGAAGGAGGAAGAGAGGTTCAGAATTATTTACTGGCAACCACCTAAAACTTAAGCTCGTGCATAACTTGCTGCTGACAACTTTACATTGGAACACTGATTATTTCTAATTTGCATGTTCTCAAGTGTGGTGGAGTGATGTAGAGATCATGTATTTAACACAGTAACTTAAAATATGGCATGTTTCATTGAATGTCAGAAGTTATTGCTGGTCAGTGTTCTGAGCACTCTTGCTACCTGGCACAGCTAGCCAAAAGTAGTCAGAGGACCCAGCAACTGGTGAATTAGTAGAGAAGAAAAGCTGCAACTTAAGGTATGGTTCTTACTAAACTTGCATTGGCTCTGTCCTGCTATAACTCCTACTATTTGAATAGGAAACTTATAGTTTTATACTAGTGTATCTAAAGTCAAAATCCAAATTACAGTGAGATTTCTGAGTGATATAAACACTTGTAATCCCAATTACTTTAACTAAATTCCACCAGGTCATACCAACTGAAGACCACTAATCAAACTGTGCTGAAATATTTTGGAAAGGATGTCCTTGCTTTTTGATGTGTTCTTTTTTTTTAACTGAAGTTAATGGAAAATATAGAGAGAAATTTTATTAATATGAAGGACTATCTCCTTAACTTAACAAAATTTCATATTTTGCTCTGAGTGGAAAATCTGATGTAAAATATTGCTACTTTCTAAATTGCCGGCATTTCAGCTATTGACTGCAATTATCAATCTAATCCTTAACTTCAGAGAGGAGTCACTTTAAAGCTATGGGAGATTCTCCAGAACTTACTGAAGTCTCAACAAAGAAGAGTCTTCTATTTAATGCCTTTTAGTACTACAACTTCACTTTATATCTCTGCTGTTCAGTGTGTTCACAGGTCTATCGGGATCATCTTTGTCTTGGCACTTACAACAAGATTCTATACTTTATGTTTGTGTCTGAATTTATACTGTGGCTATTGCTGTTTTCTCACATTTGCCTCAGTTTCTTGCCTGAGCTGATCCCTTTGCCTGCTTTAATCTTTGACCCTTCTTTCATGCTGCCCTTCTACCTGGAATAACTCTCCCTTTAATGTTCAACAGGCAGTCTGCAGTTCCTCTTTTAAGATGTTCCTTGAAACTATCCTCTTCAGAGTAGTATTCCATCTTTACTCAAATACCACAATAATATAAAGGAATGCCTTCAAACCTTCAGTCTCCTTCCTGAGGCAATCTGGAAAAGCTCTGTCTTTTCTTCATCCAATTTTTGTTTGAAACATGCTTCTTTGCCTACAAAATCTACTCTGCCCCTTAAAGAAGAGAGATGAAAGAAAACATTGGAAAGCCAGACAATAAACCCTCACAGCAGAAACATGGAATTAGAAAGATGAGCCATTGGTGTCCTTGCTGGGATTCTTTTCTATCTGATGTATTCAAAATCAGTACTAGTAATTCTGTCACTGGGTCACTGTGTGACCATGAAAATGTTGTTTTATCTTGAATTTCTTAGGTGCTTTTCTTGTGAAGATGGAGGTTTCTAAAATGCTATGAAAACTGAGAAGAAGTGTCTCTGATTTCAGTGTCATTTATGTCTGCATTATCCTATTTGTGATTGGTTTCCTTTGTGAAAGGGGCACAATCTTACTCTTCCCTAAGCTGTTGCCTTTCTGATTATTGTTACGCTTGCTGCTTCCCCTCATTTCTCCTGTGGAGTGAATGCATGGTGTTATGACATTGTAACATGTTGTACTTTTTAACATGCCATATTTTGAATCAAACTAATGTTGCAAAGTCATAATGCTGTACTGGCCCAGAAAAGTATATCAGGATGTTCCAGTGCCCTTCCAGCCTAGCTTGCTGTCTGAAACACCCACCCACCTGGGGACCCCTGTGGGGAGAAAGAATTTTCTTTTTAGTCTTGAGAGAACCTAGGTGTTAGATATTGTCTGAAAGGAGCTGATTTCACTTGCTGATGAAAATATTAACAGGGCTGCTTTGGGCAGAAAACTCTTGTTTTCCTCCTTAACGCTGCTAGAAATTTTGAAGCTTGAGGTGAAGGAATAAAGGAAGCTTGTTATTGTCAGTTGAAAAGGTGGAGATTAGGAGCATTCCTTCCAGAGCCCCCTTGCCTGGTTTGTGTTAAGCACTGTCAGTACAGACCATAATCTGTAGGGAGAAATCTGATCAATTTGGAATTGTAGTAGAGTAGCTAACAAGGAACAAATTAAAATCCTGTATTCCCACTTGATTTTCTGTTTCCCCTCAGGGCTCATCCAAAGCCTTTTGAGGTTTGCTGCAGATTGAATGAAACCCTACTGGATGTCAGTGATGAGGAATAATGGGATTAAGTGAGGAAAGTTTTGCTTAAATAGTAGGAAAAACCTTTACAACCATAAGATTGATTGGGCCACATAGCTGGCTGCCAAGAGGTGTGGTGAAATCTTTTTCACGGGAAATGTTCAAGTGAAGACTTGAACCGCAGCCATTTGCAAAGGGTTGGAGATACTGGAGTTCGGCCACAGTGTGTGGGTGTAGACTCTGATCTTTAGGAATTGCATGAACTTACAGTGTTTACTTCTAGAGCTGAACAATCACATGAAGATGTGCTGCTCTTCAATTAGCTTGGTGCAACCCGGAGTTTTTGTTTTTCTTGCCCTAAATTTGGCTTGGCCCCCACTGCATTCTGCTCCTAGCCCAGCCTTCTGAAATGGGGGATAGAAAACTTTGTTAACATCCTTCACCCTGTCTGGGTGCTGTATCTAATATGCTGTTGCATAGAGTCTAGCATGTTCATAAAAGTCTGTGAGAATATATGGTAGGAATGAGGCCTCTGAAGAAAAGCAGCAAAACCATCCTTGGTTTTGATGCTTCTATAGTGATGGCTACTTAAATTATTCCAAGAAGACACATACACTTTGGATTTCAGTGTCAAATCTGACAGTTACAGAACTAAATTCTCTCATTTATTTCACTTCTGCTTATTTGTCAAGTTGAAGTGTTGGGTTTGTTGGTGAATTTAAAGACCTCTTCAATAGTCTGCTGTTGTCATTGTCAGAGATAGGATGCTGGACTGGACTGACCGTCAGTCTGACTCAGTAGGACATTTCATGTATTTTTATGTAAGACTCATTCCCATTTCTAACAAAATGGGGGAAGGGTTGGTATTTGGCCATAACTCAGCTACTGGGAAATCATGGATGTGATGGAAGTTCAAATGCCAAGAGTAGGGACATTTGCAAGGGCCAGCTGAGCAAGAAGATGCAAGAAGAAAGTTTATGAAATCAACCTTGCTTGATAGTGAACATACTACGCTCAGATACAAGAACAGCTGTTGGTAGCAGTGTATGATGGATCAGAAGATTTTTACACAAAAACAAGTAAAGGAGGGTATGAAGCATGAAGCGAGGAGGGTATTCTTTCCCCTGAGAAATGCACAGGAGGATATTCCCCCTGTTTCTTGAGGCATACCTCCGTGGTGATGTCTGTTTTCTACAGGAAACAAGGTAGACCTATGAAACTGATGACTAGCACAGGAAAGATTTTGCTATGAATGAACACTTTCAGTAGCCAGGGACAGAAGACTGACTAAAGGAAAATGAACTTCCTTACTCAGCATCATAGCTTAAAAATATTATTTAGATGGATCTGCTGAGCTGAACACTAAAAGGTTATTTTTGCCTTCATTCTCCCTTTATGGCCAAAACTTCTTGGGACGAGTAAAAAGAATTCTGTCTTTTCTAGTGCATCAGTGAAACAAATATATGAGTGTGGGGCATTTATTATTAACTTTGGAGTGAGACATACAATTGAACTGGCAGATCTCAAGTGGAATTTGTTACTTACTCTTCCAGTAAGGAAAATCATTCTTGGAATTATGAAGTGATCAGAGAAGATCCTGAAGAGAAGATTCACGGTGATCAGCACAAAGCTAAACGTAGAGTTGCTTTCATGGCTAATCAGTTTCTACATATAACCTCTTTGGTAAATATTCAAGTGGAATTAATCCTAAATAGACTGTATAAGGCACAGGCTACCAACATTATTTGTCTAGTCTTTTTTCTCCTTTGTCTCCTGATGTTCACAAGATTATGGTGAAATATCTATAAGCATGTAGAGATTAGATCAAAAGCATTTTTGTGCTAAATACCCCCTAAATGCTAAATATCCTTGCTATTTAGTTAATAGGGAGACATACAGTCTCTGGAGAGACCTTGTAGCATCCTTTCAATATACAAAGGGAGCTTATAAGAAAGACAGAGAAAGACTTTTTAGCAGGGCCTGTAGTAACAGGACAAGGGGTAATGGTTTTAAACTGAAAGAGGCTAGGTTTAGATTGGATAAAAGGAAGAGATTTTTTTTACGATGAGGATGGTGAGACACTGGAACAGGTTGCCCAGAGAAGTTGTAGATGCTCCATCATTGGAAGTGTTCAAGGTCAGGCTGGACGGGGCTTTGAGCAACCTGATCTGGTTGAAAGATGTCACTGCCCATTGCAGAAAGGTTGGACTAGATGATCTTTAAAGGTCACTTCAAACCCAATCTATTCTATGATTTTGTAACAAGGAAACTGGAGCTTAACTGCACTTCCAGTGGAGCTGTGTAATTCACCTTTGAGCTTTGGAGCTGAATGCACAGGGGATGTTCCTGTTATTTGCAGGTCCCTAATAGGAGCTTACCAAGAGGTGTAGGTAATTGTCTGCTTCATGTGAAATGGTTGTAAGTGAGTGAACAAGGAGAAATCTTCCAAGGTCCATGTATAGGTTTTAATCCTCAAAAGACAGCTTCTCTTTAGAATTCTCTCCCCCTGTATACATAAGTGCAATCTATCCTGCTGAGATCCAAGAAAATAATGAAAATTACTTGAGCAGTGTGAGTGGTAAGGATGTATAAATCTGATGTTATTTTACTGCATGTATATACTCCCTGTCATATTCACCATACAGAGTTAACTGACTAGGAAGGATATAATTCTGCTACTTTCTTAGATCACGTTGGCAGGAACTATAAAGGGCATCTGCTTTTTCTCAAATAATAGCTTGTTTAATTTTTTTTTTTTTCATTAGGATCAGGTAAGCATTTTATTCCTATCACTCTTCTTCATTTATTTATTGTGGCATGCCCAAAATTGCTAAAAACCTTGTTTGAAAAAAATTATTTCTTTAAGTAAATGTATAGCAAATCAGAAGACCGCGTGCATATCCCATGAACAATATGCAAAATGGTGCAAGAAATTAGAGCCAAGCCTGCTCTTCTGTTTCAGACGTTGTTGAACGAGCTAGACCGAAGCATGGGGCGATACCGAGATGAAGTAAATCTCAAAACAGCCATCATGTCCTTTATCAATGCTGTTCTGAACGCTGGTGCTGGTGAGGTGAGTCACTGCCCTGGAAATTCCTTCTAAAATGTTATGCTTGAATTAATTTACCTTGGAAATGTCTAGTAGATTACATCACAAATCTTGCGTTATTGAGTGGATATAGTTTGTGGAAAATAATGCTTAATTGTTAATATCAATCTTATAATGTCTTCCATATTATTTCATTCCCAGCCTCTTCTAACATAACATAGACTACTTGCACTGAAATGATTGCTTTGGGGTTTTTTTGTTTGTTTGTTTATTTTTTAAAAGAACTGCAAAGCATTTATCTCTTGATTTCAGCCTGTTAGAAAACATTTTGGTTTACCTTCAGAAATGTTTTGAGATGTTAAGTTCAAAGCTGAACTCAAAATGTTTTAATTTAAAAATGTCAAAGGGAGACATTTCAAAAAAGATAGTTTGTTCTTTTTATTTCATTAACAAGACTTTCTTTTGAGTCTGGAGGATAGTTTAAACTGATTTTGTTTCATTAAAACTGTTACTTTTGTTACCTTGGCTTTTCTTTTTTTGGTTAAACCTCAGCAGACAACAAGGTGATAAGAGCTCTCTCTGGCAATGTATTTGTCTCTATATGAGGCAGTCCAGTAACATCCCACTGAATAGGTGTCAAGTTTGCCAAGAGTATATGATGATTTTATGACAAATAAACATAAAAACTAGGAGGAATATGGCAGTACTGTTCATCTGTAAGCAGGAGGCGGACCCCTAATGGACTAGCAGGACAAACACTAATGATTTTTGTTCTTTGTGGAGTAACATGGAGTGTGCTGTCCTTCTGACTGGGTCCGCAGAACTCATTATAGGTAAATGAGTACTGTATTTTTAAGTGAAACAGAGGCAAAGGCATTAATTTTTTCTTACTAACTTTACTGAAATTAATAATCCTGTGAATTTGGTGCCAGGACAGAGGATATTAAAAAGGGAAGAACTGAGGTTTTAAGTCTTTTTTTTTTTTTTAATGTGATTAAAAGTTTTCGAAACTAATAACTTGGTTTTCCCTCACTTTTTAAGGACAATTTGGAGTTCCGATTACACCTACGATATGAGTTTCTAATGCTGGGAATTCAACCTGTCATTGACAAGCTAAGGGGACATGAGAATGCCACACTGGACAGGTAAGACATGTTTTCTGAGAACAGTTATTGATCAACAGAAAGAGTTCATAGAAATTCTTCTCCATTTGGGTTTCAGATTTAAGCACAAAGCTGTCTTTGTCTCTCCCTAAAACTGACTCTCTTTAAAGACAAAAAGGAGATTTGTCCTTAAAATTAAAATCCGCAGATGAAGTAGGAAACATACATACTAAGTTGGCAGTGGCTGTGGCAAAGAGCTCCTGAATTGCTTTTCTTCTAAGCTGGAGATGGCAATCAGAATTAAGAAAAAAAAAAAAAGTTCTAATTCTTTTTCTCTTGTAGTAAAACTGGAACAACAGCCTGTCCTGGTAGGAGGGAGGGAAGCTAGTAGTTCATTGACTTCATTGAGACTGAGTATGTATGGTCAAAGCACAGGTTCTGAGTTTCCGAAGTTTTTCTTTAAGCTCAGTCTTTTTTGTGATCTAGCTTGTACCACAACCTCCCAAACAGTGGCACTGGCACAACTATGAGAGAAGGGGGACCTGTGGTGGGTGAAGGGGTAGAAATGCCAAGGGGGCAAAAGAGAATAATGAGGAGCATCTTCAAACAGACTTGCTGCTGCACAAAATGTAACACTGAATGGCACCTTCAAATTACTGTGTTAAAAGTTATATAGATAATAAATGTTTTCTCCACTAGCAATTCCATATTTTGCCACAGTAATTGAAGCTGCTAATGACCTTAAATTAAACCCTTCACAAAGCCACATGCTGAAATAAACTTGGAGTAAACAATCTGAACAATTTGACTGAGACACTTCAAGAAGCTAAAAGACTGATGAACCGATGAGAAGCCTGGTAAAATCCATTTGCTTAACAAAACGAAGCATTTTAAGATGTAAGAGCAGGCAGCCGTGGGAGTCTACCTTCTCCTGTGACCACATTAAGCTTTGTGGAGAGGCATTGACCTGCTGACATGCTGCTATCCCTTATTGTCTGCTATTCCAAGCCCCTTCCTACAGAGCAGGGCTGATCTGTAGGTATCTGATATCTGGGATTTCCTAGATAGAAGTGTCAAGGTTGCCAAAGCACATGGTGAAAAACCTATGGATCAGGCCTATGCCTGCAGCTTTCAAGGCACTGTTTTCTCAAACATCCACTGTCAGGAGCTGCTGTAGGGTGATAGAGCTATCCCTGGGGGCAAATGTAATGTGCCTGAGATTCTGCATAAGCACCAGGTTTGCACCAGCTGGCTGTCATAAAGAGTGGCCTCACTCATCTTCAAGCAGGTGGAGGCATATACCTGTGTATTAATGTCACAGGGAAAGATTGCATGCAGTTGTATGTGTCTACAATTTGCTGCAGAGCTGGAACCAGTAATGTTACTTTTGATCTACAACATTATAACCAAGCAGAGAATCTGTCCTATAGGCAAGAGAACTGCCCTGTTCCTTTGGTAAGTAACCAGGAGTGTTTAGGAGGGGCTTAGGGACACTTTAGGATCTTTAAAGTTAAATGATGAGAATGATAACAGAGATTGGAGAGGATCCCAGATGCCTGGATTACACACACCATATGCCAGGTCTATACAGGGGGATGTGCCACAGCCTTTCTCCACATCATCTGCTGTGCTCTGGTCTCCATGCAAGAGAAGTCCAGATGCCATGGTCAAATGTGTCTCTCACCAGGTCCCCCAGATCCCTGCAGAGGTATGCTGCTGTGCTCATCAATAGGCAAATGTAAAGACAGCTGTGAGCTCTGCTGTTTAACTAATTCACTGAATGCGTCTCTGCTCCACTGTGTAAAATAAACTACTTGTTAATGGCCTAATATCTGGTTAACAAGTATGGCATGGACTTTTTAGAAATGTATTATCACTGCAGGCATTGCATTCATCACAAATAGAATATCCCTTTCCTATTTTATGTTTATTTTTAGTAGCCTTACCTGAACACAGTTTCTTAGCACAAGGATTAAAGAGCGTGTATACCTCAGCCAGCCATTCCTTTTGGCCTGTCACTGACCCCCATGAGTTGCCTTGCATACCTATCTCAGCACTTCATGTAAGAAAGGCTTGCCAACTTCCAAGTGTTGTAGCTGGAAATGAGGTGTTGCTGCTTCTATAGTGACACACTTAGTTTAAGTCTGAATTATGCCATGAACATTGGCAGGTTTTGTTTGTTTTGGTTTTCTGTTTTCTCTTAGGCACTTAGATTTCTTTGAGATGGTCAGAAATGAAGATGACTTGGAACTTGCCAAGCGGTTTGACCTGGTAAGTTTTTCTCTGGAGTACCTGAACTTGCCAAAGCTAAACATCCACTTTGGATGCTTGGTGCAACTTCCCTTTGTGTTCCCTGAAAACAATGATTGACTTGGGTGCTGAGAGCGGATGGTGCTCTTGTTTTTGCTGTTTCTCATTTAGCAACTAGGGGGTTTGTGACATGTGCACAATGAAAACAATGATCACAGAAAGGGCTTCTGCCAAGTATCTTTGACAAAGACTTCTTTCTTTTGTTTGGCTGAAGGTTCAAGAGTGGAGGAGGTTCTCAACCCTGCTCTCATGTTCTCAGTCCTGTAGATCCAGATGCATTCCAGTTTCAGACATTCCCTTTACAGGACTATGGGTGAAGCTTGAGCTTTTCTCTGTTACTTTTCCCAAGATTACACGAAACTCTCCTGAAGACTGTCACCTCAGAGCCTGTGGAGAGGATCAGTATTTTATATTGGTGGATTTAAAGATGAGCGTAAAACAAGGACAGTTTCCACAACCTCTAGCAACAGTAATAGGCTGTAGGGTCCAGGATAGTTACAGTTTCCTCTTTCTTCATGACCAGGTCTTGCCATACACCAATATGGAACAACTAGCCCTTTCCTGCTTAGCTTCTGCTATTTGTGCCACCACTTTCCAGGACTCAAATGTTTTGCTTGCTCCAGAACAGCTCTTGGTGGCTTTGCATGCCCTCCCACCTTTCTAGCCCTTTACTTTGGGGATCTTTTCCATACTGGAGTGGGGATGGCAATGCTGGTCTGAAACACTCATGTGCCTGCTCCTCACTGGAACTTGCAGCTAGACATTGCAGGAGACTCTGCAGAGGTCCAGTTGCTGGAAATTTGCCTGTCTCTGTGTTGATCAGATCTTTCAAAATTAGTCAGGTGCGTGGTTTTTCTCTCACTTGTTCTTTCACTACCTTCTCTCACTTCAGATCCACATTGATACAAAAAGTGCCTCTCAGATGTTTGAGTTGATCAAGAAGAGATTGAAGCACACAGACGCCTATCCCTATTTGTTATCCATCCTCCAGCACTGCTTGCAGATGCCATGTGAGTACATCACAGTTTTCCAGAGCAAGAGGTACTGAAGAACTGGGTGAAACTTTGGCGTAGGTACAGGGTCACAGATACCAGGACACACACTGCCCTTGTCTTCCATTCAGAACTTGGCAGTGGCTAAGGGACTTGGTATCTTACACTGACTCCATCCAGCAGATTTTTGTCACAATATTTAAAGCAGCAGCTTGACCTCTCTGCGCTTGCAAATAAAATTAAGTAGCTGAGACATTCCAGTTAGTCACTGACAGAGCTTTTAATTATTTTAAATCAGAAGTTTTAAAAAAGAAAGAGCCCTTGTGCTCTAGATCAGGGAATTCCCAGAAATAGATACCATTTTGAATATTAACAAAATGCAGTAAGGAATTTTTCTGGTGAAACAATACAGTACTGAAGGCTGTTCTGTCACTGGGAAATTCCACAGTAAGTCTTCAGGCTGCTATCTCATGGCAATGCATCAGTGGAGAGCTCTTGAACTCAAACTGAAAAATAACATTGGCAGTTGCTTTCAAGAGAAGTGATAGGAATCATCTTGTTAACTGTAATAAAATAATTCAGTTATGCTTCCAGAGTGTAGCAGCTGAGCAAAGGAATAGCAAGATCGCTAAAGAACTGCCTGCCATGATCCTGTTAGATATCAGGTGTTAGTCTTCATTACTTTCAGCCATACTTGAGCACTCTAACTGAGAAGGGAATGTGAGGGAGATGTACTGTGGTGTGCTTTTTCAGAAAGTAATGTGGTATGTTTTCAGGTACTCGTTAGATTCAAGTACTGCCATGCACAAATTCAAGTAGTTGTTTGTCCCAGTGGTCTCCTTGATATTACTCTTTAAGACAGTACTTGAGCTTTACGTATTGACCTGGATTTTTGGTGGCAGAAGGGCTAAATCCTGCTAGGCCAGGACAGGATTGTACTGGAGCAGTTTTAAAGAATCTAAAGGTCTAGGTTATGTAACTCAGGGAGCTGAGGTGAATTTTGTTGCTCTGGCTCTTCTGTTTGATATCCATGAGATCAGTCCCGTTGGTTCAATTTCTATTCTTTCTCTCCACACTTTTTGGTCATGTTTGTATGAATTTTTCATGCCAGTTGAGTTTCACTGACCTGCAGATAATAACTGAGCATGCAGATAGAACATCTGACTGTTTTTACAGTGCTTGGTCACAATGTTACCTTGGTACCAAAAAAACCCCCAACATCAAGCCCCAGAAAATACTGAGTAACAGCTATCACAAAGGAATCGCTTCTGTAGGCGCTTAAAGTTAGCGTTAATCTTTCAAAAGGGTTGCACAGCCTGAATATGCAAATCAGGCACAGAATTGCCCATGCCTGTTATGTGCTGTACCAATATGCCGGGTGTTTGTAAATAATCTGCTAGCAACAGTCCGGTGTTAGGCTTTGTGTTCTATAATTTACTACACACAGGATTGAAATGGAAGGTGGAAAGGAAGGAATGCCAGTCTGTTGGCAGGTCTGTGCACTTTGGCATGGAAATGGAAGTTCTCATGGCTTGGTCTTTTTCCATACAGATAAGAGGAATGGAGGAAACTTCCAGCAGTGGCAGCTGTTGGACAGAATACTGCAACAAATTGTTCTTCAGGATGAACGAGGAGATGATCCAGATATAGCTCCATTGGAAAACTTCAATGTCAAAAATATCATTAAAATGTAAGCTGCGTTATTATTGTTTATTTCTGTTATGCAGGTATAAGCATATGATAAGTATGCAGGTGCTTAGGAAATAAAATACTGTATCTGAGGAGTTTCTTATTTTAACTTACAGCTTCTCGTTGTCTTCTTAGTCTTCTAAATAGTTTCCTTCTAATGACATTAGAAGAAATTAACCAGATGGTATTTTCTAGCAAAGTCCTTGCCTTTGGCTTCTAATTTCTATTAAATATTAAGCTGGTTAGAAAAGCAGAAAAGATACCCATGATATTGTAACAAGGCTTCCTCATGTGCCTTTTTTCATTCAGAATGTTGATGAAAGCTTTCATTGATATAAAAAAAAAAAAGTGGTCATCTCTACTTAGATCTCATTCCTCACTAATGAGCACATAGTTTAGAAAGATTTCAAATAGTGGAAAGCAACCCCCACCTAGCACACAAAACCTTTTACCTCTTCGTAAAATGTCTGCATGCTCTCACCCACAGGCTTGGCTGAGGGCACTACCATTATTTTTTCCCATAGGACGCATCATTTGAGAAGTCTAGCTACATGAGCTGGCTCTCATCTCAACTTCCTTGTTCTCAGTCCTTTTTTAGCCAAACTTTTGGACTCTTCATCCCATCCATCTGTCTCTGCAGGTAATTCATGGCCCATTACCCTTCTGAATTATCCACTGAAAAGAGCACTTTATAGAACATAAGCCTCATATGAAACCAAATTCTCCTGTACTAAAAATCTTACAATCCCTCCTGTTACAGGCATGAGCCAAAATAAAAACTGATTTCTCATCATGGAAAAATACACTGGTGTGGATCTTTTTCTGTCTGTCTGGATATCAGACTTCATTGTAGACCTCGTGCCTGATCTTCCCTTTCTACTTCCATAGCTATTCCTCATTCTGCATGTCTAATCAATCCCCAGCATGCCCTGCATATTTTCTGTCAGTAATAGGAAATAGCTGTGCCAGTATGAGATATGAGCATTGCCTTGTTACTGATATATTACCCAATAGATAAGCATCCTCCCTCCTTGTAAGAAAGAAGAAATAGAACCACAGAAAGTAGAAAAAAAGATGGCATTCTGGTCTCATGTTAAGGGTGGGATAATTTGTAACCCACAACAGCTATGATTATTTTAGCGATGACTTCTCTCTTTCAAAATAAGTAGACTTGGCACTTGGGGGCACTACCTGAAGACAGGAATGTATCAGGATTTTTTCCCCAGGCATTCCTTTATCCCTTTTCAGGACTTTGAACAACAAGCCATCACATTTATATTAGCTGTTGGCTACAGTAAAGATCACCATCTGGAACCAGACTGACCACTGGTATGATCCTGTATAAACATGTAAATTCACCAGGTTGCCTTTTGCTGATTACTGTACATAATGGCCACTTGCCTTTCAGCCTGGGTAGCTCAGAACAAGTTTAAATGATCTGATTTCATCTTTCAGGCTGGTGAATGAAAATGAAGTCAAGCAGTGGAGGGACCAGGCAGAGAAGTTTCGGAAAGGTGAGTGCATCCTCTGTGCTTGGGGAGGCAAAAGAAGAGGCAAGATTGATCCCAATTCAGTCACAGTTAGAGCAGCGGGCAGCAGAGCTGGGCACAACTTTTCCTTTTGTGGACAAACCCTGCTTTGTTCCCTCCAGTACATTTTGTCTCACGGTGATCAGTTTATGTGTTTCATAGGATGGGGTTTCCCTCAGTCCTCACATGAAGTGATTTTACAATCTAGGTGAAACTTGGGCATTGCTGTCTTGATCACTGAAGATCACTGTCAAGACAGTCAGACTCTGTTTTCTTTTTCCTACTCTCATTATCCATCCCCAGTTGAACTGACAGATTTGTCAGCTTTATTTCAGCATAACCTGCATCCCTTTGGAGGACTGTTCATGAGCTTTATTTCATCAGCCCCACTTGCCTGTTCCCCGTAGATCATGCCGAGCTGATGAGCAGGCTAGAGAAGAAGGAGCGGGAATGTGAGACAAAGACCCAGGAGAAAGATGAAATGATGAAGACACTGAACAAAATGAAGGACAAGCTGCAGAAAGAATCTTTGGAGCTGCGCCAGACCCGGGACCAGATGAACGACCTGGTGGCTCAATTTAATGAGTTCTCGGTATGAGACTGGGACTCTTCCCATCCTTGTTTAAAGCCTGCTAACTAGTGAATGATGAACAAAAGCACATTATGAGTGAAACACTTTCTATGGTCAGTACAGAGAGAGTCTGTCTAGCCAGCTAGAAAGATGAATAATTAGAAGCTTCTCAGCTTTTAGTTGAGATCAAAATCCCCAAGTTGGTGGTATAAAAAGGATAGTGCATGGGCTGCTCCATTCCTTCTTCTCAGTCACTTTCCTTGCAGGAGCTGCTGAGTCACACGTGTCCTCCTCCAGCCATTATTTTTACTGCTGAGTGGGGTGGCCCTGGTTGTTATTTCAGTGGAATAGAGAGAAATCTCCCAGACATGAAAGTAAATTTAGTGAAGAGACAGGATTCTTGTCATGCTTGATGCGTCTGTACTGCCTTAGAGCTCTGCAGAAGTGACATTTGCAGCTGCTCCCTCCTGCTTGGTGCTCCTTCTGTCCCGGCGGTGTGCCTGAGCCTCAACTCACCAGGACACAGCCCTGAGAAGTTGGACACTGCAGAAAGCAGATTGATTCCCTCCTCCCCTCTCCCACTTTGCATTAGTGGGGCCTAATGACAGGTATTCAGTATTTCAAACCCTAAGGTTTAAAACCCAGGAGTTCAAAAGTTCATAAGACTGAACTTTTCTATTTTTTCATACATAAGGAGAAAATAATACATTTTGGCTTCTTTTACTAGCTTTCTGTTTTTCTGAGCCATTTATGGTTCCTTTTTTCAAGCTCTTCTCCACAACTTCAAGGGCTTGAAACTTTCTCTTAAATGAAAGCTGAGATTCCTCCCTTTATTGCATGGCTTTGAGTGCAGGAGGCTTTAAAGAAAACATCAAATATTTTGAGACTCGTAATAAAATCACATCAGCTGGCAATATGGAGTTATTGTGCCTTTTAAACTGTTTGCTTTCTTTTTCTGTGTGTTTTTTATTTTCCAGCAAGGGGGCAGCATTTCCTTCCCATCCCCCCCACCCCCCCCTCCAGGTGGC